AATACCAGATAAGACACCACAGCTGATGGTGATTGTAACAGGTGTGTCTCCTTCTTTTTTTCAGGAGACTCTGGAGCGTTTGGAAGAATGTTCTGGTAATGCTGTCAGCCAATCAGAAATGAGTATCCCTGCTACCTATGCTCCAGTTCTCCCACCGTCCTCCAACAGAACTGAGCGGCCCATCTGGTCTGCCCCACGCAGATACCCCCGCAGCCCCTCTCCACTGGCACAGCCTCTCCCACAACCCCTTCCTGTGCCTCCCCTACGCCCTGCCTGCTCACCTGCTCACTCGCCTGGTTCATCTCCACGCAGTTTCAGCCCAATAAGAAAAGTCCGTCCTCCAGTAGGCATCCCAACCAGCCACCTGCCTGTCGAGGCAGAGTGTCCAGACCCTTGTGATCCGACTCACTGTCCATCACAGCAGTGACGACTGCTTGGATGTGTGTTTTCATTCTGTGATATGTAAAGTACATGTATAGTTTGTCGGTCTTCCTTCTATAAGGATCATGGACTTGATGCACTAGGATAAGAGATGAGTTCACTTTCAGCTAACTCTTTGTCTTGATGTTCCACTATTTATCTATTTCCCTATGGTTATGCAATGTATTTCTCTAGACTTTTGAAGATATCCTGTCATATGAAAAAATATATTATGTCCACCAGCATGTAGTATATCATGTATATGATGCTGAGACAGTAAAGACTTCACAGCTCTGGTACATATTTTGCTTCTTGATGAATTATGAATATCACTGGGAACTTTTGATAAGTACCTGTACATATGTAAGTTAATAGTTTTGGGTCTGGTGTTTTTGGGGTTATTTTGTTGTTGTTTTTGTTGTTGTTTTTGTTTTTTCTTTCAAATAATTAAACCACAAAGTGTATTCTTAGTCAACAGTAGGTCATTGTTTAACCTGAGATAATAAAAACAGTTTAAAAAGGTTATAGTTTGTCACCAATTTTGTAACATTCTTCACTACAGCCCTCCAAAAAACTTTAATTTTTTCTTTTTGACTACACTATAATGTAATTATATTGTTATCAGTGCTTTACACACCACACAGCAAAGTAACACCACAAAGGAGAAACGCTTCTTTTCGCAGTCTTTGTGAGTGAGCTGAATGTGATCTGCCATTCTTGTGTAATTTCTCTTCGATCCATTAGGTGTCACCCACACATTTCTTGAAATGCCTTATTTCAATGAACACTTGAGTTCCAAAGAGATAGATTTACTTTTTAAACATATTTTACCTTCACCACTTTTCATAAGCCGTAGGTGTAGCAGTTGACATTTGTCATTTTGGAGTATATTGTGCTATGTTATGTTTTATGTTTTGGACGTGCTATCACAGTTCTGCCCTTTTGCTTTACCTAAAGACAGTAACCATGAGCAACTGGTTGTTTAATGACAAAGTGTCTTCTACTCTTCTTGACATTTGAATGTCAGTGAGGATCAAACTGTGCTTGAACCCACAGTTATATCTCAAAAGAATAATAAATATAGAACTTCAAAGAGGAAGCTTTTTGTCAATGATGTGTGGTCAAACAGTTCATATTTACATTCTATCATAGTTAATGCCCATGCAATCATGTAGCCTCTTGTTGATTATGGACATACTGGAAATAATTAGATATGGAAACCATTTCCATATGGAGTTCAGTTTACTGCATGTTGGGTTTTTTCCACCTGCACAATAAACACTGGCAGGATGCATGGAATAAAAGAACCATAAAATAAAAAAACATAAAGGATGTGCTGTGGCGACAGAGCTTTCACCATTGCAGCACCATCCCTATGGAACTCCTTACCCATACACATCTGAGATTGCAGCGACAAATCACATATCAAAACCCACCTTTTTAGACTAGCTTTTAACCTCAAATAATGTTTTGATGCACCTGCTGCTGTTTGTTATTTGTTATTTTATATGGTCGCCCCTTCAGTCTTATGTGTTTCTGCACCACATGTTTTTATCTACTGTTCATATATTTTATACTTTTCTATTTTGTTTCTATTTTGTTTTTAAACGTATATAACTTCTGGTTTTACTGTAAAGTGTCTTTGAGTGTGAAAAGCGCTATAGAAATAAAATGTATTCTTATTCTTATTCTTATTATCATGATATTCAGTTGTAAGGAACAAGCTTGTTAAAGAGTGTAAGGCACACACAAAGACACACATAAAGTGGCCTGGTCCATCACTATTATCAGGATAATGTGTCCCCTTCAGAGGTCCAGCTGGACATCTTTTGTCATGAAAATCTGCATGATTTTGTTTATTGCTTTTATCCTGAAATGTATCGTCCATTACTAAAGGTGTGATGAGTCTTGCAGTTACGTAAGCAAATCAGATCTGCCTGTTTTGATCTGCACTTTGCGGTCTTTGTTCTATTGGAGACACAATTTATTCCTTGGTGCACAGACTCATGAATACACATACAGGATCATGAGCACACACAAGCACGGACGAGCAAGCATCCAAACCTGTGCATAATCACGCGTAGCTTACAGTAAGTGGAAAATTAAATTTCCTCAGATAATGAAAGTAGGCCATATTTATTGATCTTGGAAATTGTTTTTCTGTCACATTTTTATTAGTCATAAAATCCCATTGTGCTCCACCTGTGTGGCAGAGGAGCTTGGAAGCCCAGGCACTAATTAACCTCTAGGGAGCAGGATCACATCTGTGTGCATCTGTATGTGTTTATGTGTGGGGAGTAGGTGTCCTATGAGTTGAACAGAGACATGGTATGACGCTCTCCGTCTCTAAGAGGCTCCTCCTCCTGCCTAGTCGGTCTCTTCTGACTAATGCCCTTGTTCACACCAGCCTGTTGATGTGAAATTCCCAGTAGACTTTATTGTTGGAAAGCTCTTATCTAGCATTTTTTGTGGTAGGTAAATGGACAAAAGAAATAGTAGAACAGAGTCCTACAAGCTCTTGGTGGCACCTGGGAATTGCTCACGGTCTTCTCTGATCCACATTCTTTACTCAATCTTGCATTTTGCCTGAAATTCTTAGACTTATAACTCTTAACTTGACTTGAAATGATGTATTATGCATAATAATAATATATACATAATATACTTAATTAGCTGTGTTCAATGTGTTTTTCCACATAACACTTGTAAGATTGCTACCTCTGGCTACTCTGAACATATGACACACATTGCATGTCTGTCATGCAGTGGCGAAAAGTAAGTAAGTACATTTATTGTTGTACTGTACTGAAGGACAATTTACTTTCTATTTTTACTTTATACGTGAGAGTTTCATTTAAATAACTGTTTTAGGCCCAAACAAGTCAAATTGTCCAATATTTTACATCTAAAATATGAATGCAAAATTGTTCCTTAGACAGTGGTGCATCAGTGTGAAGGATTTGTTATTGTAATATATAAAACATCAGTTACAGGGGCCATGAGAAGTACTTTTTCTTTTGATACATTGAGCTGATAATAATTTAGTTCTTTTCCTTAAGTAGAATTTTGATTGCAGTTTTTTTTTTTACTAGCAATGGGTTATTTTTACATTATTGTATTGGTAATTTTATTATTTTTTAAGTCAAATATCAAAATACTTCTTCCAACCCAGCTGTTGTGGAAGAGGGTAGGTACTATCTGTTGCTCCACCTAAGGTGTCTCCCTTTTTTCTCATTGAAGTGCTTGTTTTTTTAAGTTTTCCTTACCCAAATTGAAGGACAGTGTTGTTGTAGATTATAAAGCCTCTCCAAGACAAATTTGAGATTTGCTGAGATGAGCCAGACCTGTTTCACGTGGTCTGATGTATCTTACAAAATGTTGTCAGAACATGTCTATGAAGATTCTCAGTCATCCAGGTCATAGTTATCCAACGAAGGTTAAAATCAAGGGCAACTGGAAGACGTTTCGTCCCCCACTCAGAAGTCCTTTGGATGAGGGACGAAACGTCTTCCAGTATCTTCAACCAAGTCCAGTTGCCCTTGATTTTAACCTTCGTTGGATGGTTGTCAGAACATGTGTTTTGACATATTTATTTTATCCTCCACTTGATCAATCGTAAATTGTTGCTAAAAATAAAATGCACTGAATTGTCCTTAAGTGCTCATCTGACCAAACCATCTGCTTGACCTGTTCTCAGCAATGGAGTGGACGAGAAGACTGGGAAGGGTAACACACAAACACACATGCATGCAGAAAATACACCAAAATACAAATCAAATGGACATAACACATATTGACACATATGTGCACACAAATGCAGAATTCATGAAGCTCAGTGGCTGACAGAAAAAACAAAGCCACACTTGAAATTAGGGCCCACCTTGATTAGAAGTGGAGTCCCTGTGATAAGATATAAATTTCCGTGTATCGTTGAGTGCTCTAATCAGTGTTTCACTTAAGCACTGCATGACCTTTAGGCCAATAATAATTTCTGTTTTCAACAAAACACTGGTGAAACAGAATTTTTCCAGGTTTCAGAAAGATAGCTGTGTAGTAAATACTTTCTATTCAGCATTTGATAAAGCCAAAATGCTTGTATGTTTGTTTCTCCCTATGAGATACAGTTAATCAGACCACGCAGACCAGTGCAGGTAAAAGCCCTACACCACTTAAGACATTAGGGGTATTTTCTTTTCTCCATATAAACAGTCCCCTGGCAACCACTAAGAGTGCCAGTTATATTCATAGTACTCCAAACCCCTCTGGCTCCCTCACACCTACCCTTCTTCACTTTCTCCATCACTCACATCCTTTCTCTCTTCCCCTGTAGCTCCCCCTTTGTGTATGTGCGTTTGTATCTGAGCGTGTCTGCATGTGAGTCAGCTGCATCCTCAGCACCTGGGACATTACCTCCAGTCTCCAGAGCGGAAGCTGCATCGCTGACACTGTGAGTTTAACAGATCTGCTGTTGCTTTTCATGAATGAATTGACGGTCATTTTTTTTGTCTTGTTTTATTGAAAGAAAATGTTGAACTATTTGATTACATCATGGAAAGTGGGTGTGTATTATGGATAATAATCCATGTACATGGTTTATTTTTCATGTTTTATACATGAGTTAAAATTTTCCACAGTTGTCTTTTGTATTTATATTACTCCATGTAAGTCTTTTTCACATGGATCTTTTTTATATTAACAAAAGATTGGCAGAAAAAATGTTGAAAATCATGCAATTTCACATTTGTTGGCAGTTAAACTGAGCATTCTCACCTGACGCGGATGTTTTATTCTCTCTTTATGCTCAAATGATTTATTTGTGTACACTCAGCTGTATCTGCATGAATGCACAGAAAAAACGTTTGTTCTCGCCTTATTTGTTTCTCTAGTGGTTCATTGTGAGAAGACCTTGGTTGTCAGCTCTTCGGGTTTGTTGATCAGGGCTCCAAGCCAGAATCTCTGCGGGTGTGTAGAGGAGAGGGAGGTCAACATGGGCTCCAGCTCCTCCTCCTATGCCCCAAAAACCATTTACCTGGATGTGGATGGGAAAGTGCAAAAGGTGGGTCCAACTCCAGTGGATTTTTAATATTATTTACATTGTAATATTCTGTTAAATCTCCCCTGTTTACTAGAAATGTTATGTAACTAATCACAAAGTATGACAAACATACTTTCTGCTCTGTGAGATGGGCTGGTTTGACTAAAACATTAAGTTTTTTTACAAAATATTGTTATTTTTATTTTATTTTTCTGCCGACAAACAATGTGATATACTGTAGCCTAAATAATATTGCATCTGTTTGCGTAGATAAAATTGTAATTGTATGTGTTAATTGAAAACAAATACAGATTTAATATTTTCAATTCTGTATAGGTTGGTGGATTAAGCCATACAGTCAAAAACCTGCCTTAATAAACCTAACTATGGCAATATAAGTAATTCAATTTTTATTTCACCTTCCTGACTCCCGTTGCAGTTATTCCCAGCGGACTGGCCTCACCTGAGGAGAAGCTTTAATTAGATGGTGTTTAGCAGTTTGCCATACAGGTGTTACTGACAGAACCAAACACCTGTGGTTAACAGCTTACACACCTACATTAATTTCTGCTGTCTTACAGCTCTAGGGTATATGAGTGAAAATGTGAATTTCAATGTATTTCTTTCCTTATGCTTAAGTTTCCGGAAGGAGCAATTAAGCTTTTAATCAGTGGGGATACGGAAAAGACAAAATATGGAATGCAATATAAAGTATAACACAGCTTAGTGGTCATTTTAAACAGTCAGGACAAATGGTTTATGTCTCGAGTTTCATGTTTCAGCGTTCCAAACATACTGAGATACAGATAAATGCAACACTTGCTGATCTAGTGATGTAGTGTGCGTCAAGTAGAGCACTGGCAATGACACATGTCTGTTCAAGAGCCCTGAACGGTTTGAGGCTGATTGCTTGTCTGCTACACCTGCTCACCTCAAGATGTAAGATCACAGTTTTTGCACAGGGTATCTGCACCCATGCAGTAGTACTCTCTATACAAGTAGGCCTACAGTACTAAGGCTTGTAAACTTGTCTGATTACATGACAGGCGTGGATAATATATGCTATCTTCAAGAGCACCATGAACTCTAACTCCAGCTGTCCTTCTCTTTCCCTCATTGGGCTCTCTACTGACGTGACTGTTCAACCATAAAATGAACCGGCCCTTACTTTACACTCCCATGTGATTCGGTTGTCTAAAAAAAAGAAATTTGATACCTTTCCTGCGCTGTCAGAACACTGAGGCCTTATTTCAAAACCCCAGCAGCTGTTTGTGTGCAGGTGTGCCTTTGGGAACCATGTAGACACAGATTGCTGTGTGTTGGATTTGTGGGCCACAGAGGAGGTTTTCTCATAAACATGTAACATGATCATAATTTATACCCCTCCTATGTGGCTTGATTCCCAATTACACTGTAAATTCAATTTAAATCAGCAGCCTTCTGCTTCATTTCCATCATATGTGCATAAATTAATACAAGACAAGAACCAAGCTTGTGTTTGAATTAAGAAACCAAAACACAAACTGTGCTTACTTCACAGGTGGTGTTCAGTCGGCACTGCAGCCCATGTGACATCAAGGAGCTTCTGTGTTCCTCATCTAACATTCCCAGGTTTGTTGTTTTGTTTCCACGCTTTTTTATTTGTTTGCTCATTTATTTATTCACAGAGAGATGGCATTACTCTTTATCCATGTCACTCAACATAATTGAAAATTGCCTTTAAAAACTAAGAACTATCACATAAAGCAGCACAAAAGTATCGTAAATCACATCAAGATTATCATGCAGTAAAGCAGCCAATAACGCAGAACGAACACTAAGTAGATTGACATCCCGCATTACCCATGCACACCAAAGCAGACAATGATATGTGCGAGATGCAAATCTTTAGTGACTCTACCTTGTAGTATAGGATATAGTACACTGTATAGCAGAAAACTACTAAGGAACACTACTTTTTAGGCACGCAAAAAAAAAAATTTATTTTTAAATTACTTTCATAGCCTAAATTTAGATCGGACAGTGTATTTCTACTTTTGTCACTGTTCCTTTTGTTCTCTCACTGTAGGAACACTGCCATCATGATGGTGGATCCAGAAGGTGCCATGGTCTCCATAGATCCCACTATGCCCACCAATTCTCCAAAGTAACATACCAGCATTATGTTATTGTATTTATATATAAATCACATAATTATATTTTACCTATGTCACCTTTTTCAGAATCTCCACCCGATTTCATTTTACAAACACCCTTTAGACATTGATATCAGGATTTCGTTTGTTACCTTTGAAATAGTAGCTGACAGAACAAACTCATGACAAGATTCAATTAGTAGCTTTTCCATCAGCTTCTAAATTAACGTTGTGTTCTTCTGTCAATTATAAATTATTGCAAAAAAGCAATATAAATATATTTTTGTCAAGAATTAGGAATAATAACTGCTCCTCTGATTTCTTTACAGCTCATTGTACAAAGTTGTCCCTCTGTCTACTGGCCAACTTGGAGGTAGCGCCCTAATACATACATTCCTGCATCGACAAAACATCCACTGTGAACATGATAATGAGCTTGAAAATGACAAACTTCACAATGTGATTGCTGTACACAATGATTTATGAGGAGTGTGTTTCTGTCTGCAGAAAAGGAGGACATGTTTCAGAACGTGTTGTCCCAGGTGGCGGAGCAGTTCAGCAGGTACCGCCTCAGATGTTTATGTTATGTTATGGCTAAAGCCTGCCCTTCCCCACCCTGATACATACCTTACACACCCTGAGTTTCAACGATAATGCATGCTGCAACCCATAGAGGCAAGTTAAATCAGACAACAAGTTCTTTCACCTTTATCATTTATTTTGTGCCCCCCCCCTTCAAGTTTCAAGTTGTCATAATAACCAATAAACCATGTGAAATACGTGTCATTTTCTTATCATTTTTAATCCTTGTCATTCGCTTTCCCTTCACAGAGCCTTTCGCATCAACGAGTTGAAGACTGAGGTCACCAACAGGCTAGCAATGCTGGAAAAGAGAGTGGAATGTAAGTGGTACATTTGACAGTTTACAGCTTAAACAAAAGGATAGATATTCCCTTTCCCAGGCAATAAAACCTGAGTTGTGAATAAAACATCAAATACAGCTAGTGCTCTGAAAGCAAAGCCAAACTTTATCTTGTTTCAGTGGAGGGCTTGAAGGTGGTGGAGATTGAGAAGTGTAAAAATGATCTGAAGAAGCTAAGGGATGAGATGACTTCAAGAGGTGGTGGCAGGTGAATTGAAGTTTGATATTAGACAGTTTGACATTGTCAAATATCAATACAAACCAAATCATGTAAAATCAAAGTCAAATACATTTTGTTAATAAACTTCTGTCCTTTTAAATACAGAGTAAACTGTCCATGCAAATACAACTTCTCAGACGACGGAAAGAAGGTCACTCCCAGACGAGATGTCCCCAATTACCCAAAGGTATTACCACTGGGACAAATGCTTTCATCATTATTAGACAATGCTAAGTTCATGAATTGCTAGAGGGTCTTTTGTAGTTCTGATGTCATTATTTATTTGGCATACACAGTACACACTGTCTCAGGAGACTGTTGAGGCGCTCAAGAAGCCAACATTTGATGTCTGGCACTGGGAGCACAATGAGGTAATGTTGTCTCTCCATAACCCAATCAGCCACTTCCATTCCATCTTATCCAAGTGAGTGATGTCTGAATGTATTTTCTCTCCCTTTGTGGCTGCAGATGCTGAGTTGTTTGGAGTATATGTACCATGACTTGGGGCTGGTGAAGGAATTCAACATGAACCCCATCACACTTAAACGCTGGCTGGTAAAGGACAACTGAACACGTGGACATACTGTACATGTGCACGGTGTTTCTGAGAGTAGTATCAGTGCTCTGACAGAGATTACAAAATAATTATCAGAGAGTAGAAGGCTGCTTCTTTTGATATAGATTCTGAAGTCAGTACCTGAATAAATAATTCTCTGTCTTCTAGTTGGCGATTCAGGAGAACTACCGCAACAACCCTTTCCACAACTTTCGCCACTGCTTCTGCGTTAGTCAGATGATGTATGGCATGATTCACCTCTGCAACCTACAGGTATGGTGCACGTTTGTGTGTGTGTGTGTGTGTGTGTGTGTTGTGTGTGTGTGTGTTTGTGTGTCCATGCATGTGAAGGATATCATTCAAGTGAATTATCCACCATCTAGCATGCACTTCTATAAAATCATTTCTGTCAGGAAAAGAAAACATTAGACAGGTTAGATTAAGTTCGGAACAATTAAACACCATATCCTGCAAGTCATATTTTTAAAGATAGAATTAACTGTCTTACTAACCAATGAATTACAAGACTGAACATTTTGCTATATGTAAGAACACCTTTCGTTTCCACTGTTGTCCAGGAGAAGCTGACTCTCACCGATATGGGAATTCTAATGACAGCTGCAGTGTGTCATGACCTGGACCACCCTGGCTACAACAACACGTAAGACTCACTATTCTGTCTATAGGGGTGTTGACACATAGAGCAATGCAGATGCCCATTGACCCCAGTATGTTTTGACATCTTCGGCACAACACTGTCATCAATGAACTGTGAAAGTAGTTCAGCATGGAGAGAGTTCAGGTATGAAAACACGCTGATTCAGATTATCGTGTTGTTTTTGGTCAGAATTTTGGGCAGGGGAGGACTTATCTTATCAGGGAAGCTTCATGGGAATATATTCTCGGTCCATCCGTTCACCTGTATCATCCATCTATCAGGTATCAAATCAATGCCCGCACTGAGCTGGCAGTGCGTTACAATGACATATCTCCGCTGGAGAACCATCACTGTGCTGTGGCCTTCCAGATCCTTTCTCTTCCCGAGTGCAATATATTTGCAAATGTGGACCCTGAGGCATTCAAACAGATCCGACAGGTGAGATGTCAATCATACACATTGTCTTTTCACGTATTTACATTTTAATCTGAAGACAATTTTGCATTGTATGACTTAAATGTAAGCAAATGTCATGCAAAAATCTCAAGCTGTTTTGCTTTTTATATTTCCAGGCAATTATCACCCTCATTCTCGCAACGGACATGGCCAGACACGGGGAGATACTAGACTCCTTTAAGCAAAAAGTGGACAACTTTGACTTCACCAACGAAGAGCATGTGACATGTGTATGTATTCATTATGCCTTCCAAGATCACGTTGCATCTCCACCTGATATCCGTTGTTTACTGCACTGTAAACGCGAGATGTGACATCAACACAAGCAGGCCTCTATCTATTGACCATGCTGTAATCAGCAGAAGCCAAATGGATTATATTAGCAAAATTAAGAAAGCAGTCACGTAAGTTCAGTAGATGCTCTAAGACAGGGTTGTGTGTTTATGATGATCCTGTGTTTTATGTTGGGAGGGTGTATGTTGCATGAACGTTTGCTGTCTTTGTTTGGGTTTTCAGCTGAAGATGGTTTTGATCAAGTGCTGTGATATTTCCAACGAAGTGAGACCAACTGAGGTGGCTGAGCCATGGGTGGACTGCCTATTGGAGGAGTACTTCATGCAGGTGACCTCAACCAAAGCTTCAACATAACTCAGAACTACATTGTCTAAATCCATCATGTCAACTCAGATGAAAGAAAAGTACATTGCGACCAATAGCTACCCATGATAGGTAAAGTTTGCTGCATCTAATTACAATATTTCCAATTGTGTGCTTCCCAGAGTGACAGAGAGAAGTCTGAGGGTCTGCCTGTGGCCCCCTTCATGGACAGAGATAAAGTCACCAAGCCCACTGCTCAGATTGGATTCATCAAGTTTGTCCTCATCCCAATGTTTGAGACTGTCATGAAGGTAGGGCAATGTCTGTACTGATGTGTTCCTTTATACGTATAAACACTGATTAACAATTAATGCTCTTACTGTGGTGTCCAGCAGCTTTTCCCTCAGATTGAGGAGATCATGGTTCAACCTTTGAGAGACTCACGTGACCACTATGAGGAGCTGAAACAGATTGATGATGCCATGACAGAGGTAGAACCTATTCTATTCTGTCCATCTATTCAGCTATCTATCTGCACAGTCACGCTTTGCTCAAACCCACACATCTTTTTGTTAAACTATTTTCAAAATATGACAGCCGTGTCAAACTAAATCTGTTTTAGTCACCTGACATTCTGTAACATAGAGTGAGTAAGATGAAGCACTTTTACAACGAGTTTATGTTCTTATAGGCCCTTACATGCCATTCCAGTGTTTACACATGCATACGCTACATACACTTTCTCTGACCTTCTTTTACAAGCCAGATACTGTGTCTATAACATGTAATGCCTGGACACTGCAAAGCTGTCAATAGTTTGTAGTACTAGGGAAAGTTAAAATATTATATATATAGTGTTTCTGTTAGTAAGTAGTAGTAACTTAAATTAGACTAACAGTTCAACGTTTTGGGAAATATGCTCATTCACTTTCTTGCTTAGTTAGATGAGAGGGTCGATCCATTGGAAATATAAAGCAACAGACAGCAGCTAGCCCGTCTACTAGTGCTTCTAAAGCTCACTAATTAACACTAAGCTTAACTAACATTTTATTTAAATAATGAATCCATACAAAAACTCATTTATAAAAATGACAATGCGACATCTTTTACAGTGGGTTACGTGCCTATTACGTGACTATTTTTGGCTCTGACCAGTTGCAGGCAAGTCAAATTAAGTCAAGTTTATTTATATAGCCCAAAACAACAAATCACAAATTTGCCTCAGGAGCTTTACACTCTGTACAGCAAATGACACCCTCCATCCTTAGACCCTAGTATGGAGATATTTTAGTGCCAGCACATACTGAATATGAATTCAATAGTTTTAAATTTTAAATGTACAAACTGAATATTGTATGATACATTTGAAATTGTGTTTCACATATTTAAATTGTATCTAATGGTTTGAAATTGAATTGAATTTAACTTTAGCAGTAGCACAAAACAGTTCGTGCTGTCTCCATGGCCAACCTGCATATACTTGACCATTTTGTAAGAAGTTACTACTTGCGATCCATTATCACGGCAGCAGGTGAGCTGCTTGCTTGTTAATGACACAGCCTATCAAACAACTCAAACAGCCGAAACCCAACATCTGCACCCCGTGTTCAATGTTGCTTTAACGTTACCTGGTCTGTGCTTGTAAAATATAAGAGTGAACATAAGCACAGACCCCGCTACCCCCCCATGCCATCGTCCATCCCAATGTTTCAATGTAGTTTTGTAGACATCGTTCCAACCGTGACTGTTTCTGCTGCTCCCTGATAAAAGATACCTGATGCTGATACCTGTTCAGAAAAAAAAGAATAGAAAATTGGACAAGCTAGATAAAAGGTAATGCCCTGGCAGTGGCAAACAGCTTTGGTTTAATATTTGATTTGATTATATTAATGTTTAAGTTGAGATTTACAAGAAATATTTTATTGCTACTGTGTAAAGGGAATACTGCTGGTAAAATGCACCTTATTTGTTTAAAGTGTTTGCAAACCACATGATGACCTTTGTGTATATAGCAGTACATTTAAATTAAAATTGCGCAATACACTACTTTAGAATTCATTGTTCTATTTTTACACGTAACAATGCAATTAATTGCGATTAATTGCAAGAAAACCATGCGATTAATCGCGATTTAATACATTTACCTGTGAATTATGCAGAAGATCCTTTGCAAGCCATGACTACATACCCAGAAAGCCTTGCAGTCCGAAGTTTTTAAAATAGTTGGATTGAAAAGGAGCTCTTCTATTCTACTCTAGAGTTCCAGAGATTAGTTGAAAATTAATTTTGAAAACTGAATTCCGAACTGAATTTGGAACTCCACAAAAACTGAAATAATACTCACAAGTTGAAAACAATGCAAGCAACAATATCAAATTTTGTATACAATATTCAGCTTGAACATTCTAAATTTTAAAACAATAAATTCAGATTCGATTGGTGCTGGCACTAAAATAACTCCATAGTCTCAAGCAACCAGCAGAGTGTCCAGGAGGTTCCTGGGCCCTGCCAAGATATAGTCCTGTACATAACCCCTGTAAAACTGTGAATTGACATATTTCTATTATACTTTTATTCATTCTTAATCAGAAAACGAATAAAGCACATTTTCCAAAATAACACATTTTTGCTTTAAGGTTGTGCTTTTGAATCTGGCAATGTGAAACTAAAGTGACACTTCTGCATCTTCACAAACATGCCGCAGTGCCTGTGTGGACATCAAATTATATTTAATTTGGAGCACACTGCCAGTCTAGCCTTGAAGTTACTTATAGTAATCAGAGTGTCAGAGGTTAAAACAATGGCAGTAATACAGGTTTCCTGCTGTTAGGAGAAGGCCTGAAGAACAAATGAAAGTAAATCTACACAGTTTACACACTACACTATCAACACATCAGTTCAGCAATTTGTTTCACATGGGTGGGGTCACACACATATATGGACACACATGCATTCACACACCCGTCAAACCACTTGCTAACATAAAGGTGTGTCTTTTGTTCAATGAGGCACAGAAGAAAAAAACTGAAAATATGTCATTAGGCGGGAAGAAGAAGTAAGCTCCGCAGTGAGTGAGTGCAGTGGTATCTGTGTAAGTAAAAGCAACTGACTCCTTGGTTGTGCTTTAGTGTTTAGTGTTTCTTTCGCTGCCTCTCTCTGGCCTCTCCACAGCAACTCTCCTCTGCACTGAACTCTATCTACAAATACCAGACCTTTATGAATGTGCAGCACTTTCATCACCTTGGATTTGCCTTTTAAGTTACCAGCAAGGAGTTTGTATCAATTTACTCAAAAAAAGGAAAACCAACGAGGTAATCCCATTTAGTCAGTGAGGAATTCTTGTCAGGGTGTCAGGGTCTCAGTTGAATAGAAGTTAAACTTCCTGCAAAAAAAAAGAAAGAAAGGTTCAACAAAGCGTACAAAAAAAAAGAAATTCAAAAGGAAGAAACCCCAGAAAAGTCTTCAAGTTAAAAATTATGTATGATGAATGTAAGCACAATTCTCAAGTAAAAATATTTAGATTTTTGAGATTCGAGCTCTTTTTGATTTCTGCAATATCATGCCAGAATATGACTTAATTCATTCATTCATTCTATTGTCACAGCTAAAAACAAAGTGGTGAAATTGTCGCTCATTATTTTCCCTCTTAAACACTATGTTGTCTTTTTTACAGTGACAAGATAACACATTTTCTGCATATGAATTTAAACTACAAACTCTTTTCCAGCATTTTACATTGAACTTTTCCACAGAAATAGAATGATGTTGCCAATGAACTCTGAGTAAGTTTCGACTTTCCACACAGGGATGCCAATTACTTACTCACAGCTCCAAAGCAACTTCAAGTCCAATAGTTCTTGGTGGATGATAACCACCCAAACTGTTGATGGTCAGGCATGGTTTGTGCTGTATATAGCACTCTATAGGCACAGCTCTCACTCAATGAGTTGTTTTGTTAAACCTAGTCTTAGTTGAAAATTTCCTCCTTTATATCCTGCTGTTTCTCCTTCCTAATCCAAGCTCTTATTTTATTGCAGGGGTCTTCCTTTGTTTTCAAGTTAAGAAAAGACTTTAAAAGTCCGTGACTGAGGCCTCACTGAAGACGTTCTGCAAAACGTTCTGAGGATGACAGATGAATCAGGAGGGAGAGAAAAGAGACTGCTTGTCTACATACTGACCTAAATTTAGGCATCAAGGTGGCATATCTTGAACTTTGACTTAGACTTTTGCACTGAATGTAACAGAGAGGGACCTTGGGGCCTTCTCTTTATATTTATGGTGTTTATGTTGTTCTCCCTACTCTGTGCCACAAAAGTTTGAAGGTCCAGTTTCTTCAAAAACATTACTTAAAACCTTTATATAGGCTACAATGGCTGCAGAATGAGCTGCATGGATGTACAAATAGTAAATGATCATTTTTTTTTCCCAATTTTTCCTGTAGAAGAAAACATGCACCAAATTAGGATGTTTCACCACACTGTAGCAATACAGTTTTGAGGAGGAGTGTTTTCCAACAAATGTTGCAGCTTCACACCTTTGCTTTTTTTCTTCACACACAGTTAGCACTTGATTAAATCATCACAAGTCTAGGTGTATTCTCTCACCTTGAACACTTTTTAATAAAACAAAGCCACATAGGGGCACATTATGTACATTTTGTCCTGTAAAAAAGTTTTAATATCTCACAATTTTTAAAACCACGTGTTGTATGTCTGTTCATCTGTCAAACCCTGTGAGTCATTATATAGAAAGGTCAGACACATTTCAGTGTCTTATAACGGGCGTTTCAACAGTAACTCAACTCCAGAAACTTTGTGTAATTGAATGGATTTAAAAACAACAAATGTTGATCTAGGTTTTTGAAAGTTAAGCAATATACTTGGAACCATACACTGATCACACAGAGTGAAGCAGGTTCTCTTTGAGTTTGATTTCAAAGTGAAAACTGACCTGTTGACGGTGAACCTTCAATAATAATGAAAGTTAAAATACAGTAATTATAATATAGCTAAAGCACATAAATGTACCCCTCATTAGAGCTTTGTATACCACAGCATGACTTAGTCACATATTATCTTCATCTGCAGATGGAGTTTGCTCAGTTGTCATAGAGATGGATCTGTTGCCATGCAAGCTCAGAAGCTGTTATGATTTTATCTATTGCACTTTCAGCACTCATCCTGAATGCTCACAGCAGCTACTCAGCTTATTTGTTAGTACTATCTATCTCCATTCCAACTAAGCAAATTAAAGTCATTGATGGAGATACAAAGCTCCATTAAACCGCTAGTGACTGAATTGGAGTGACATGACTGTTGATTACTGACACATACTATTAATGCACAGAGATCATAACACACAGCAAGTGCCAATTTAAGATCGCCTTGCTAACGTTTAACTTATAATGATAATTGGATTCAGTTAATAATGACATCTTTTCACAGATGCTGTGAAGTCAGGAATGTAAAAGCTAACATGATTTCCCCACACTAAGCAAACAGAATGAAATAACGTTATCTGTTTTCTGAACTTAATTTCTTACTTAATGAGAACCAGTCTGTTCCCACCTACTGTTAAGCATTTGATTGTTAAACATAACGATGATACATGAAGGCACCGCTTTATGTCAGTGGAAGATGTTTTTCTGTTGTCTCACATAACAGTCAAACATCTTCTCCCTTTTGACACAACAGATCTTATTAACCCCACATGAAAGGCTCCCTGATCCTTATATCATGAATTGTTGTGCAGGCATTCCAGTTAAGCATGGCTCTTTATCCCAATCATCCTGATTGAGATACATTTTATTACCACATTTAGACAACAGGGCTAGATTACAGTCAAGATGTGTTGAAATATGATTAGTTATCCAGTTGTGTACCACCCAAAGGTGCCACTTATCTCAGCCCACACCACACTCCTTTCTCACCCCACAGCTTCCCTTTGAGTCATATCAGATCTGAGTGGTTTTCCTCCAGCTACTCCACAGTGTTTTTATTACCGTGTTTTTTGGCACTGTGTTGCCAATTACTCCAGCACAATTCATTGCCTCACACACACACAGACTGAATACCACCTACATAGCTGTGATGAAACCATATAAATAATACACACAGCATGAATCACTAAAGGCTTTATTTGTACTGCATCTTTTTGTTTAGGTTTGTTTGTGTATTCCAAATTTAAGTTTGATAATTAATAAACTTTTCACTCCTCAAGTCTGTAGCTTTATTTGATACATCTCACTATATATTCACATGTTCGTGGTCTGATGGGTTTTTCTGATATAATCTGATCTTTTGGTGTGTATACTACTGCAGTCCTGCTTGTAAGTTGATGATCTCAAAGCAATAAAGTTGAGATGAGAGAAAGTGAGTGAACGTATTCGAGTGTGAGTGTTTGTTTGAAAGAACGTAATTACCCATCTCCTTGCGTGACGGAGTGTATTGACATTAACCTGCAGGAATGCTCTGATGAAACAACATGCTCTCTTATCATTGAAGGATACTGCACAGCACTCTGCTGCATGGGCAATGATTAAAGCACTGCAACTCATCCATAAAAGGAGTTTCTTAGTGACAAGTTGAGACAATGTGCACGACTTTTTTAACATTTCAGTGTCTCTTACTGTTTTGCTTGTTAATGAGAGCTAAGTGCATAAGGTTTGTTAAAGTGCTTAAGTTTATCTTCTCTGTAATTGAGTGACAACATTTTCTTTTGAGTGCCTCCAACACTCATAATCTTGTCACATTTCAGTTCATAAATCAAAAGAATAATCGCTCAGATTGAGCAGTCGCCTAGCCTAGACTAGATAGATGTTTTCATGGGTGCAACTAATTAAAGTAATTAAAGTAACTGATATCTTAAACCCCTCAGTCATTCCCTTCGCCTTGAGGCTGGGTGCCACATCATGTTGAACTGCAACAATATTTCAATGGGCCTGTTTGTTGATGTGAAAGTGAATACCGTTTCTATTACAAAAGCACTTTGATGGCGGTTAAATGAGCAAGTGTTAATTTTGTCTTTCACTGGGCTTACACAATATGGGATGATAGCATACAAAGGAAGGTGTGGCAATTTTGCACAGACATTTGATCAGGGGTTTGATACATAATCCCTGTAAATTTTAAGTCACGTAGCACTAGTTTCTTTATACTTACAATTACAGTAACATAAGTGCAAAGGTAGATATACAAAAAATTTAACATTCACCAAACTGAAATTTTATACCATCAAAACCAAAACATTTGGTGCTTTGTTGGCTCAGTTGGCAGAGCACACGCCCCATGTACAAGGCTGAGTCTATTGTGATGTGGGGACAGAGTGGACCCAAACGCAACACGAACAGGTTTTATTGAAGGGAAAAAAGGGGTTGTGAGGTGAGGTAGAGGCGGACGCCGGGGAAACACGGGCACGGGTAACCGAGGAGACTGAGACAAGGGAGCCGGGGGCACTGGGGACAGAAGAAGTAAGGAGGCACGGGGAGGAGCCGGGAGGCTCGTGGAAGAGGTCCGTGGGGAGAGGGCAGGGTGGCGAGCCCAGCTGACGGAACGGAGGACAGAGGTGAGTGAACTTGGAGGGAAGACAGACGGACAGACAGGGTTAGACATAGGGAAAACAAAGTACAAGAAAACAGTGATGACACAGATTACTCGGGCTGGAGCGATGAGGTGGCACCAGGTTAGGAGCAACGACGATCAAGCAGGGGCTGACTGGAGAACCGGGGTAGGAGATGAGGCTGATTGCTGGCAGATGTGGCAGGCAGAGGAGGTGGCTGACGAGATGCAGGCAGGGGGGCCGCCAGGAATTTTGGGCCCCATGACAAAAAAATCAAATTGGACCCCCTCTGCACAGAGCTGTCACTACTTCTCTAGGACTTAACTGTCCCATCAAAAGCTTTACATAACTCTAATGAAAGGCTTGCAAGTGTCTGGCTTCTTTTAGTTTAATATTAGTACTAGCACAATATTTACTGCTGGTGATTTGTACATGCAAGTCTGCATAAAGGATGCAGTTCACTATTTGCTTCTCAAATAAATTGCCCTTCATGATGGGAATAATAAAGTCTGTATCTATAGATGTCATTTAACGGCCATAATTCAATCTAACGTATCAAACTGTATTATTTTAATATAGTCTGTAACTTACATGCAGGCTGAGGTATGCTGCTGTCCAGCATCCAGTACAGACAGGAAGGTGTTTTTTTATTTTATTTATTTCGTAATGATCATTATGTGAGAAAATAATTTGTATTTGAATTGCTGTCATTAAGAAATATTTCATTGTTTTCTGGTAAAAAGAGCAAGAGAAATCCCCACAGAGCCCCTGGAATGATGCTAACTCATTAACACACTGTTGCTCACCTTCTTCCATCACTGATGTGTGCGCTAAGGCAGGTCTAAACCATTTCATGCCGATACAGGGGGGTGGTCGGTCAATATGGAGATTTACTTTTCGGTCAATGGGGATTTTTAACTTTTACTGCCAAAAACAAGTAAAAACAAAGAGATCATTCATTTTATTATTATATTTGAAATATATTTATACTCAATGATGGTTTATATAATGTATAATATAATATAATTTGATATTAGTTTATAATTAGGGGGAAAACAGAATCACAAGCAAAAAAAAGGAGAAATAAACAGGACACTCACCGTCAGCCGGGCTGCCACTACAAGTCCTTACTGCAATGGCCCCGGTTTGAATCCAGCCTGCAGCCCTTTGCTGGGTGTCGCCCCCTATCTCTCTCCCTCATTTCCTCTTGCTTTCCACTGTCCTATCAAATAAGGGCAAAAACATGGCCAAAAATATAGTGTAGTGTAAAGCACAAATCCTTGGCTATGTCTTTTAATGATATGTCATCGTCCTTTCATTCTGTTGCTATTAGACAGGCCAATTCCTATGTTTATTTTCATTCATTAATTGGCTTATAGAAGCCAACTGCAAACCATATGCAAAGAAAGCTCTTAGCAGTTCTTAGATGTTCCTCAAAGGTCTGCTGGTTAAAGGGTTTCTCCAGTGTAATGCTCTTCTATAATTCACATGAACAGTCAGGATTGAAGCATCAGAGCCAGAGATATCCTGACTGAACTGATTGACTGACTTTTAAAGCGTCAGCCCCAAGCTAGACTGCTTCCTCCAGAGCTGGAGAAAACATTATTGAAATGTTTGCACAGGCAGAGTGGTACTCCTCATGACTAGAAACCACTGTGTGCAGGATTTGAATGTGTTTATACGGTTTATACTATCTTTCAAATGATTATAAAGGCATTAATTTCTGTTTGTAGAAAACATATCCAATCCTGGTGAAAATCCTGGTGCAGTCTGTTTGTTACATTCTGTCTATTCATCTCAGTGTACCCGGGTCAGCTCCATTGGGGTCTGTTTTTGGCCCTACCGCTTGTGGGTAGGAATGTTAGAAATGTTATAATCCTACACAGAGGCGCTTTAATTTTTTTATTTGTTATAGTCCCTTCATTTTCTTGTGATGTCCCTGGGGGCCCTGCTAATTTACTTTGTCTTTTATTTTCTACAGTTTGCCTCAGATTGAATTCAGAGTTGCATTATGTTTTTTTGTTTTAATGCATTGTTAATTGTGACAATCATTTGCAAATCCCTGCACCCTAATTAGAAAGTTATGAGCGTTGTCGTTTGCAGAGATTCCCTATTTTCTATATGGCTTGTGCAGGTACCAACCACAGCTTAAACATAACAGCTTAGATCCGCACTGGTGGTCTAACAGATCCTGATTCTGAGCCAGAAGAAAGTTACTTTGTGAAACCGAAACGTAATTTGATCCAACTGTCTATACTTTTTATCGCAGCTTATCACATTGAAAGCATGTGAGAAAGATGTATACAGGTATGTTGATCAAAAGTGATAAAACATTAAGTTTGCAAAGCAGCACAGAGAAGAGAGAACAAACATCCACTATCTGTTGTGTCTGCAGTGTTATTGCCCTGTAAATGCTTGTGCTGTGCAGTGAGCCTGTCTTGACTTGAGCACAGTATAGGCAGTCATAGTTAATGGGAAGAGAAATGCATACTGCGTAATGCAAACCCTTTCTCTTGTTTGTTCTATCATTTGAAATGCAACTTGGAACCATCTCTAAAAAGCTCTTCATACCTTCATGTGTGTTCTGTAAAATTCTCTTTTAAAGAGATAGCTTTACATGTGTGGTTAAAACTTTTGGCCATCACTGAGAATTTTATTTCGTCCCATTTTTCTCCTCTTCTCTTACTCTACTACTTTCCCAGGTCAGAACGCACCATGGAGAATTCCTCACAGCATGCAATCTTCCAGGGTTTAAGGTAAAAGGGCAATGTGTTTGTGAGTGAGTGTGTGTGTGTGTGTGTGTGTGTGTGTGTGTGTGTGTGTGTGTGTGTGTGTGTGTGTGCTGTCAACAGACAAAACTGAAGTCTTGCAGCAGGAAGCCATGGATGATCCATGGCCTAGTTTCATGGGAAACTGGCTGAAATATAAAACAGATGGCGGCAAATAAATTCTGAGTGTACTACTAGCTATCTGTTTTATTACCTTACTGTCCATTAATCTATTTTTCATTATATACTTCCAGCTTGTCTGGCAGTTTTTACAGTATGTCTGCATGAACTGAATGTGTAAACTGTAGGATTCTCCGCCATGTCAATGTAAACACACGAGACTCTCATCTTAGTCAGACCAAGGATTAGACTGTGGCGTTGGTCAGCGGAATGAGTCAGCAACACCAGCTTTTCTCTGCTGACCCGACAACGGCGAAGCCCAGACCTGCCTCATGTGAGCCAACACTCACGCAGACAAAGCCATGCTTGTGGGAGAGGCAGTTAAAATCATGAGGGATGCCCCATTCCCCTGACTCCCTCATTCAAGAATGCCCAGTTCCTTGTTTGAGCACTGGACTGTGAGGACACAAGCTAGATTTACTGAAGACAGTTACATCCCTGACAAGAATGGCAAGAAGTCAGAGGTCATAAGCGAGAGTTAACCCCTGAATTCTGGTCTAGCATTTTTGTGCCAGCGATTACTTTGTGGCAGAAGAAGAGCAGTGTCAAATATTGTAAATCTGGGCACCAAAACAATAGTTCATCTCTTTTTATCTCTTTTAGAAAACACTCTGTGTCAGACACTCTGCAAATAACTGTCTTTAATTGAGGTATACCTCTCTCTCCTTTCTTAAAAATGTCCTTGTTAATGTTTTTGGTCTAGTTCTACCATAAAAAATAACCCAATCCAAAAACTCACAAGTTGGTTTAACAGCTACAATTCTTTTACAAGTTAGGAAGACCTCACGCACTCACCCACAGGGCTCTGAGACACCTGTGCTATGTCCTGATAAAACTTGTCTTAAACT